TTGTGAAGAGTCTGAAATAATCAGGATGCCCAAAATGATCCATAGATCCCTATCCCAAGGCCATTCTTTAAAGAGATGGAAAAACTAATTACTTTAAGTAAGTCTTACAATACAGATTTATTTAATGCAGTATGTTGTTCGATTTCTTGACTGCTGCTTCCATAAGTGTTGATTACAGATCTAAGCAAAATGACATATTTGATAATTATAATATTTTCTCCCATTTATCATGATGCAATGTATGGGTCCAGTTATGAAGATTTTTGTTTTCTTTACATTGAGGTGCAATCCATACTGAAGACTAGTCTTTGATCTTCATCAGTAAATATATTTTAAGTTCTCTTTGCTTCCAGCAATCAAGGTTGTGTTATCTGCATATCTAAGGTTGTTAATGAGTCTTACTCCAAACCTGACTCCTCCTTCTTCTTCATATAATCCATCTTCTTGGATTCTTCACTCCACATATAGATTGAATAAGTATAGTGAAAGGATATAATCCAGACACACACCTTTCCTGTTTTCAAAGCATTCAGTATCCCCTTGTTCTATTTGAATGACTGCCTCTTGGTCTACGCGTAAGTTCCTCAGGAGCACAGTTAGGTGTTCTGGAATACACATTCTTCACATTGCTATCTATAGTTTGTCATTATTCACACAGTCAAAAGCATTTGCATAGTCACAAACTGAAATCTTTTAACAAAGTGATGCAGCACTGGAGGCATTCACTTATCTATACCAAGAACTTTGGAAGACATGCCACTACCCAACCAATTGAAAGAGATCCATATTAGTACCCATTCCAAAGAGAGGTGATTCAATGGAATGTGGAAATCATCAACAATAACTTTTTTTGATTTTCCTCTTTTATTTTGATGTAAAGGTATATTCATTTTCTTTGAGATTACCCTGTCATTTAAGCAGCTCTGGTTGCGTAGTGGGTTTTGAGTTGGACTGCTAACCACAAGGCGATATAAAATTGTCTGTTGTTGCTGGGACATTGTGGTGTTTTTGTATTTAATTATTGTTTGTTGGTGTGTTTTTAGGGGCTCACCAACTGTCTTCTGTGAGTAAAGTTAGAGAATGAAAGCATGTGCACTGTTCTTTATTAGCCATACCAGGCACCTCAGTTCTGGGTGGGTTTGGCTGGTGTTGGTTCTGTCAGTACAGAAGCTGGTATTGGTTCTTGTTCAGTGAGTGGAGCTAAGGAAGGTACATTTGAGGTTGGGCTGTATGGGCATGGTGGCTGTCTCTTGTTGGGTGGGAAAACAGATAACCCACCCTTCGCCATGGAGTCCTGGTGTGGCACTGTGGGTTAATGTGCCAGACTGCAAAGCCATTTGAACTGCAAGGTTAGTGGTTCAAGCTCATCAGCTGCTCCTCAGAAACCCTATTCAGGGGTGCTATGAATCAGAACTGATTCGACAGCATTTAAGAACAACAACACCCTTTGCCACACACAAGAAAACAAATAAATAAACAATGTAAAAAGAAAATAATAAAGGAGAAAAAAGACAAAACCAGGAAGCAACTAGAAAAAAAGAATAACAAGAAAGAGAAAAGAGGGACAGAAAAATGGAGCTATAGAAGAGAAAATAAAAGAGAAAGAAAGAAAGAAAGAAAAAACTTAGAAAAACTAGGGGGAGAGAAGATGAAACGATAAAGAGAGTGGAGAGTAGAACAGATAGATCAATGGGGAAAACAAGAATAGGGGAAATGAGAAACAACATTAAAAAATATAAAAACAAAAGGACGATAGGATAAAATTCAAGGGAATTGAAAGAGAAGAAGAAAGAAAAGAATAAACAAACTGAAGCAATGAAAAGGGAAAAAAAAATACCAGTCCAGTTGTTGGACACAAAGAGAAAATTCTGGGGGGGCTCCTGAAGTGGGTACAGAAGGAATGTGACAGTGAGTTCCTGGCCCTAGACAGTGGTCCTATAAGTTCGTTATCATTAAGTGTTGTCCAACCAGTTCTGACTTACAGTGACCCTGAATAAGGTTTCCAAGGAGCAGCTGGTGGGTTTGAACTGTGGACTTCATGGTTAGTTGTTGTTGTTGTTATGTGCCGTGGAGTTGGTTCCAACTCATAGTGACCCTGTACAGGGTTTCCAAGACTGTAAATCTTTACGGTAGCAGAAAGTCTCATCTTTCTCCTGCGGAACAGTTGGTAGTTATGAACTGCTGACCTTGAGGTTCGCAGCCCGATTTGTAACCACTACGCTACTAGAGCTCATTCATGGTTAGTAGTTCAGTGCTTAACCTACAGCACCTCACCAGGACTCCTCCTATAGGCCTAGGTGTTGATCTATGATTATGATACTCAATCTGGAAGCTGTTTGTAAAGTCCTTGCTGGAACTAATTTCCATGTCTGTTAGAAGAACAGAGCATCTGGTGCAGGGTGGCTGGTTATGTGTTTCCACTAGGCAAATGCTGGTCTGGCGGTTCTCCAGATTCTGTAGGTCTCGAGCCATGCCTGCATGAATCCAAGCACCAAAGTGACACAGCTGCCCCCAGCTTCACAACGACATGACCCATAACCATGTGGCTCCAAACTCCTGGAGAGCAGGGTCTATGCTGGGGGCAGATGAGAGTGGGAACTGGCTACCCCTCTGATCACCAGGGGAACATAGGAAAAAGAAGAAATCACACCTTCTCTGTCACCTGTGTGAATCTGCTCTGTCAAGCCACCTTCTGTCGCCAAAGCTGCTTCAAAAGTTGAAGATGGTGGAGCAGCGTCTGGACAACAGTTCACCAGTCTCCCTCTCTTGCCATTCCTGTTCAGCTTCTCCTCCCAGCAGGCACTCAGTCCATGTCTCAAACCTTTCCTCTGAAGTTCAGGTTTCCAGGATTGTCACCTGTGTCTGCTTCATTTGGTTTCTCAGATCTTTATTGTAGAGGGTCTGTGTAGTGCATCTGCCTAGTCCACCATCTTGTTAAAAAATCGATTCTTCACAATATTATCTACAGATTATCATGATATACATAGTCAAAAGTCTTTGCACAGTCAATACAGCACAAGTAGGTATCTTTCTGGTATCCTCTGTTTTCAGCCAAGATCCATCTAAGTTCAGCAATAATAACCCAGTTCCATGTCCTTTTCTGAATGTGGCTTGAATTTCTGGCAGTTCTATGTCAATGCACTGTTGCAACTGGTTCTTAATTATCTTCAGCATAGTATTAATTGCATGTGACATTAATGACATTGTTCAATGATTTCTGCATTCCATTGGGTCACCTCTCTTTGGAATGGGTACAATATGGATCTCTTTCAATCAGTTGCCTAGTGGCCTGTCTTCTAAATTTTTTTGCATAGATGACTGAGCACCTCCAGTACTGCATCAATCTGTTGATTCCATTTATATTCTGTCAATTACTGGTGCCTTGTATTTTGTCAATGCCTTCAGTGCTGCTTGAACTTCTTCCTTCAGTACCATTAGTTCTTGATCATATGCTACTTCTTGAAATGGCTGAATATCTACCAGTTCTTTTTGGTACAGTGACTCTGAGTATTTCTTCCATGTTCCTTTGATGCTTCCTGCATCACTCAGTATTTTGCCAATAAGATTCTTCAATACTACAAATTGTGGCTTGAATTTTTCCTTGAGTTCTTTCAGCTTGAGAAATGCTGAACCTGTTTTTCCCTTTTGGTTTT